AATAGGAATGAACAGTTTATGCAACAAAAGTAGTAAATCATACACAGTTTATTGACAGATCATACGACACATAGATTGATGTGCGAGGAAATCAAAATGTATCAGTATAACAAATTGGTTGGGCAAAAGTCAGTACTGTCAGTCAATACTCTCAGTTCAGGTTCACCAGCAGCACACACTCATGACAGGATTGGGTCGATGATGATGCCTTTTCTCATAGTAGATGTACATGTTGGCGTGCCCACCTCCACCTAGTGTCTGTTACTATGTTTGTGTATATGTCTGTTAATACGAGCTACTGAGTTGACTAACTCATATTCCAGTGTGTGTTTTTACTGTGTTGTTGACTGTCTCTGTTCAGGAGTAACGACAGCTGCAGAGTAGGGAGAGAAGGTGAGCGAAGGTCAGGCCATTTAAAGTGATAGAAGAACTCTTATCCTATTTAAAGCATCTTAACAAGGTCAAAGTGTTGGACTGCTGAATGTAAGAGCATGCTTGTGTGTGTGTGTATGTGTGATTGCAGGTGTGTGTTGTTGGGTTGCAGGAATGGGGCTAAGCCTTGGCATGGTTCATGAGAGATAATAATCAAAATCAAATTCTTGGCCCAAACAGGATTATGATCTGTGGGGCTGAAGACACAGTCCTATTCCTTAGCCTCTCTTCAAACACACACACAAACAGACACACACATACAGTTGGCCCAGACTAAGTTGGCAAAGGTTAGCTTGGAGTGAAGCCATGTTGAATTGTTTTGCTTTCAAATCTCTGTGCACACTGACTTTGAACAAACATTATTCTGGACTATTTAGAGAGAAATGTTTGGTTAGATTTTTTTGAGGAATGTGTGTGTTGTTGTCTTTGTGCTGGTGTATTAGAAAAGTGATTAAAAAAAGACGACAATTCAGCTTACGAACAGCCTCTCGGAACCTATTGTGTTCGTAAGTTGGGCACTGTCTGTATCTCCATCTTCATTCAGCACATAAACTGCACAGTAGTAGTCTGTTGGATGCAGGAGGCGGAGGGCTTAAACGGCATCCCTGGGGCTGTTACTACGGAGCAGTCAGACAGGTTGGCGTTGAAAACCGGCCAACTGTTCATCAGTGTAGATCTTCTCCATTCATTTAAAAGTTGGATGGAGACAACATGCAGTCATTAGTGAGTCATTACAAAGCCAAGGCTCAGGCTCCGTCCAAACACACACAGGTTTGTGCAGCTATTCTTCTTAGGACTTAGCTGTGACTCTTGTTCATATGTGGAACAAATCCTAATTACTTACTTTAATCATCGTTACCTAATTGCTTACCTAATTTATGACTGGCTTTAACAAAGTTCTAAGAGGGCATGTACACACACACACACACAGACACACACTGAGGGTCAATCTAAAATGAAACAGGGAGGACCACATATTTACACTTGAAGGTAATATTTTGGGAGTTAATTCTTACATTATCTCAATTAGTCTCAGCTAAAGAAAAACCTGTGTTTTTCTATTTTTGTTGTTGTCTGTCACTGGACAGTCAGCAGCCATTTATATTCATGCATTTAGCCGAGGCCTTTATCCAGAGTGACTTACATGAGGAGGATTTAGTAGTTTCACTGGGACTAGAACCTACAACCTTCTGCGTGTAGAATAGACATGGTAACTCTTACACCATGGAACTGGAGCAGCCAGTGACCCTGATCAGTTCAAAACTGAATAGGTTGGGGTTAATACTCAAGTGGACACAGATCATCTTTATCTGGGGTTTTCAATGACAATGTAGGTGAGGAGCAACGTGGTTGAAGAGTGGTTGGTGTTCTTAGTGCCAGTAGCTGTATGTGCAGTAGTGATAGTAGTGCTACCATAGGTGTGGTTTAACATGTAGAGCAGTTAATCTGTGCTCCAGGAAACACCCAGACTGCAGCGACCCTCAAGCTGAATTCATACTAAGAACCATGTCTTTGGATGTATCCTGCTGCATGTGTATGTGTGTAAGTGAGCGAGTGTGTAAGGCTGCCCCCCTCCCCACCTCCCCTTTAGCGGATTCTTAGTACAGAAACAGCCTAAGCCTGATTCTTATTTAAAAAAGACATTATGGTTCACAGTACATTTCACATGGATTGGACCGGATGATGAGGCCAGGAAGGGGAAGAGTGTTTGTGTGTATGCGTGTGTGCACACGTGTGGGTGCACAAGCGCACACACGTACAGGAGGGTGGGTGGATGGGGGTGGGGCGACAATTTCCTGAAACGATGAATCCCATTTATTCGGTGAAGACTGTCTCAATTGCCTCAGCAGCGCACAAAGCTTTTTAATGCTTTAATTATGTCTCAAAGGAGTAGGGCAGAATCAAATTAGAGGTTGTCCTACATTTAGATGCTCTCTGTGTTTGTGTGTGAGTGAGAGAGAGAGAGCGAACGAGAGAGCGCACACACGTACATGCACTAAAAAAGTGAGCATTTGAGAAAGTGTGTGGGCGGTTGTGTCCTTCTGTATGATTCATAGCAGTGAATATCTGTTTCTCTGGCAGCCAACCACTCTGTGGCTTATCACTCTCTCTCTACACACACACACACCCACACACACACCTTTGTGACTGTTCCAAAATATAATTTCTACATTATATTCACACATTCTAAGTTACTACTGTGTCAAACACACACAGGCACACACAAATAAACCAACATATAAGGCCAAGCCCACCTCTTGCACAAACACATTTTCACACAGGCAGCATGTAGGCACCTTTTCTGTCACAGCAGATGGCATGTGTCACAATATTATAACAGTATTTCATTAACATTATGGGCATCCATCTGTCATGCACTCCCCACAGAGCATCTTGTTTTGGACACTGAAAGACAGTGGGAAATAATAAACATTGTTAGCTGTACACTTAACACTGATCTGGGAACAGGCCTACGCACTACTGTGCCACTTCTTTACTGCTTGATGGTGGAATGGAGATGAAAAAAACAAGGTGGTTTGGAACTGCTGTTAGACCAACCATCACTAAAGAGAAGAAGGTTTATTTGAAACTTTGACTTTACTCTAATAATTATGATATGATTAAAAATACCAACAATACAATACAGCCACAGTGGACGACATGAGGTGAAGGCTATTTATTGCCGAAACTACTGACATTTCATTGTGCAAAATGTGAACCTTTTCATTTTTATTTCATCACTGTGTCTGGTCGAACTCCTAAAACAAACTGTTAACTTTACTTACTTCGGCCAAAGTGCGTTTTATTCACCCAATTAACAAGGGTGCGTTCTTAAAACACCACAGCGAGGGTGGGATTTAAATCTGTGATCCTCTCACTACAGGCCGCTCAGCGCCACATCTGCTATTCCTGTTGGTCATTACCCATTTGGATTTTCTATTTTTACTAGACAGACAGGTTTTTATCATTTATTTTCTCCTTTCTTTGAGATGCAATTACATTTCTTTAATTGAGTCTTAAGCGTTAGCTGGTGGATGGGCTCAATCCAGTTGCTTTTTTATTGGTGTGGCACAGAGGCTTGAAGTCAGGCTGTCGTTTACTGAGTTTGGACTTTACAACACTGGTTGGAGAGATAATTGAAAAGGTTATTCTGGTTTACAGCTCAGTCTCTGTCTCTGAGCAGTAGCCCAGCTTGTGAATGTGTGTGTGTGTGTGTGGTAACACTATAATGATGTCACTACTTCCATGACATTTAAATGTGCACAGCTGAGGTTGTTTGTGTGTTTTTATTGGTTCTCCAACCTTTTGCCTTTCCTTCATTGTCATCACTGATTGTCATAATTTCTCCAACAATTTATTTTTCCTAGTGAAAAGAGTATTTGGTATTTTTCCAGCTTCTAAGCACTGTAGTCTGACATACTGAGTTGAAAACATAACAGAAAAATTGAAGCTTGGAGGTAGGGAGGTGTATTACTACAACCTAAGGCAATCCTGTTGATTAGCATACACTGTGACCAAGCCTGTGTAAAAAAAAAAACAAGCATTTTGTAGTAAAAATGAAGCTGAGTGACATGCAGGCGAGGTACAAAGTGACAGGTCGTTCCCAACAGCAACAGTCTAGTTATTTGTCATTTTTTTATATTCCTTTTTCAATCAAGTGGAAAGAGGAAATGTCAGGTTTTTTTTCTCCTTCCCACCTGGCCCCTTCCATACCCTGCTGAGAAATAATGTGATTTTGTCCTTATTTGGGTTAGATGCCTGCTGTGCTCTTAACACAAAGTCAAGCCCTCTACCAACGTCTGGAGAATGGTGTGTGAACAGAATAACAATAAGGTCTACTTGTTAAATTCAGGTTAGGCAAAAAATAAATTCCTGCCCTACATGACACGAAAAACTCTAAAAGCATATAGGGCTTTATACTGTTTACAAATACTATCCCAGTACGATCCTACTGTGGACTTTGTTGTAGGCCAGCAGCAGCGGCCAGCTTCGCTCTGGGGAGGCTACCTGGTTGATCCTGCCAGTAGCATATGCTTGTCTCAAAGATTAAGCCATGCAAGTCTAAGTACACCTGAAACAGGTTGGCTCTGTTTACTTTTCAGCAATTTCTACAAAAGTTGCATCAATTACCCAGCACTTTTGTTTCATTCTAATGTTGTTAGTGACATTTTTCACAAACTGTTTTAATGATGTAGCTGTTTGGTTCAAAAATTCAGCAGATAAATGTTAATAAATGCAACAGAATTGAAAATGAATCATTAGAAATAACATTTTAAAGCTAAATTATATGTTTGAACAATGTTTTCGTTACTTACCCTAATCTAAACTAGGATTCCGGGTCAATTTCTCCATTCACGCTAGATTTTTTTTTTTACTGTATATGAGATGATGGCTTATCTGAATGCAGACTAATTTAATAAAACATGCTATTTTATTATGAGATATTTTAGTATTTTTAAGTACTTTTTTTAAATGTATCATTATTGGATTTCTTCGAAACTATTTAGTCGATATTTGAATGTTTCTCTTCACGTCACAGTTCACTGAGTTCTTGGGTTTACCTGTTTGTTTGTTTTTTCTCTGCAGGCTTCATCGCAGCAGCTGAAATTCACAACCTCAGACTCATGTGACAGGATCAAGGATGAGTTCCAGTTCCTTCAAGCACAATACCACAGGTGGGACTAGAAATACTGTACATATGTGTTCAAATATAGAGTTTTTGTATTAGTATTTTGAAACATATATTGGTCAACTGTTCAACCAGTATGACCACTTTGTTGTGACTGTATCAACAAACAGATCTCAAGTAAAGAAGCCATGGCTTGTTAAACGTTAAGGTTGTACATGATTACATTAAAGACACAGTGTTTACAAATTAATCTTACAATCACAAATGCTGCCCACACCCAGGAGAACATGGAAATAGAATTATGTCTGCTTTTTTATTTCCTCCAGTCTTTGCGTCCTTCCATTTTGTACATTGTGAAATTCTTTGAACCATAGAAATCAATTCTACTTTATAGCCCTGCTTATAGGTTCTGTGCAGCCTATGAGAGTCTGAGACATCATTAAAGAGTCTGATTCTACTGATCTTTCCAAAGAACCTATTGGAAGGGACCCACAGGCTCTGAATCACAGTGAGAGAACGTGTCTTTGTGAGACACGTTCTCTGTTTGAAACATTTTTCTCTCAGAGATCAGGATGTTAATCTGTACCTGTTTTCTGAGCACCTTCTGGAGGCAGGCAGAGGCAGATGAAAGCTTAGCATTTTGTCAGCAAAATCTCTGCTTTGGTGGGGTTGAGCTTGTTTGCCAAGTATTCTGAAGTTGCAATAACCCTGTGTGCCTCCCTCCTTGCCTGGGTTTTTTGCAATTCTCACAATGAAGGGCAACGCTGTTTAACCCTCTTCAAAGAGTCAGAGAGGGGTTTTTTTGTCTGAGCTTACAGAACATGCATGTAGTGCATATTGAATTAGGAAGGAAGGTGGGGGTGGATGAGGCGAGGCGCTTGGGAAACACAAATGAGGCTTTGTAGCGTTCTGTCGCTGTGTTGTGCCTTTCTGCTGCTGGAGCCTTTAAAAGGCAAATGTACCGCAGGCGTTCCCCTGGGTATAGTTGCGAGCGTCGTAGCTGTCATAGTCCTCCTCCTCCCACCTACTCTTCTCCTCCACCTCCTCTCTCCTCCCCTTCCCTAGTTCACATGCATAAATAGATCAGGGAATACATAAATCAAAATAAAGATGACAGGAGGAACGATTTAGAGACGGAAGACTCGACAATAAAACTCCATCAAAGTGTCGTTTTAGAGCTGCGGTGCAGGCCCAGGGGCTGCTCAGCACCAATCAGGGAAGGCACAAAGCCAATCCCAGGTATGCTGGCAGCAGGGAGGCCTGTTGTCATGACAACCCGTCACACAGCCTACGCATCAACCCGAGGGTTGCAGTGAGTGTTTGTGTCAGAGGGAAGGGGCATGTCTTAGATAACTGGAGGCTGTTACCCATGCATATGGTCAGGGTTCGGACAGCCCAGTCAGCTTATCAGGTTCTTCTCCTCATTCAGTGCATTTAACAGGCGGACATATCCATGTCTAGGCCTTGTTTAGGCTGAAACAACACCCAAGATTCTCATAATGTAAACACAGCTCCCTATGTAAGTCTATGGAGAAGGAGGCTGCTCCTCCACTGGACGTAACACTGCACTGTGCAGTTGTCTTCATCTCTCACTTTCTTGGGATTAAAGCGTTAATGTAGTCATGTTTGCTAACATTAAGTTACCATTAAATATGCAAATTGTGTTTTACAATTTTTATTATGAAAAAATAATAATACTATATACATTAATCAACATGTGATTAATGTATATAGTATTATTATTTTTGTGGAGGTGTGGGGCTAAGGATGACACCCAGATTACAGAAAGAGATTGCACAGTCAGCTGTGTAGATGGGCATTTTCAGTACTGAAATGTATGCATTTATCTAATGACTTCTGGGAAATACTACGTAGAATCGACTCTGTCAAGATTTTGGTACAAAGTCGATTTACTCGCAGCCGTTGCTCTTCACTGCACAGCCGTTGCCATGGTTATATAAAGCTGTTCTCGGGTGCTCCCGAAGGCGGAGCATGCAGTGGCTCGTACCATTTAAAGATAAAGGTACAGAAACTGGCCGTGGCTGTGTGAAGAACCTTTAGGTTTTTTGCCAAAAAAGAACGAAACCTTCAAATTTCATTTACATAACAGGGAACCAAATTTATTTTCATAAAAGTAGCATACTATGTCCGCTGTAAAATTTAAATCAATGGATTGAATTTTTTTGTAAGAAAAAAAACATGATTTTGTTTTTATACTTTTAATCCCATTAGTGAATAGTTTCTCAGTTTTGTTTGGTTTTATGTGAATTGTCTGACCTTTTCTTTCAAACCCTCCATGACTGTGGTGAAAAAGCGCAGCTTCAAAATGATAAGCTGTTTTCTTCCAAAAGGTTTCATCCGTTTCTCATAAATAATGCCTTTACCGAACTACTTTCACCATCTCACATCCTGCTTTTCTACTCTCTCTATTTTTTCCCTTGAGTCCCTCTGAATCTGTTTATTATATGTCATTTTTATTCTTTAAATTAATTGTTCCATCAAACCTAACACAAAAACATACGGTAACAGAATTCTTTTGTTTTCATCAGATTCTGGACGTTGCATTCTAAAGCTCTGTGCTCACTCTGTGGGATTCCACACAGGGATTAACTACAGACCTTGTGCAGTACAGACTTCAGTGAGATTGAGAGGGCTCAGATTAGGATAGGACCACACTCAGACTAATGGCCATAACGATTCCAGCAGCACTTACTGTTGTCATGTTTACAGTTGAGAAGAACAAAAATAAACACTAATAAACAGCTTTGTCAGAGTAACACTGAATACAAACCTGTCCACAGCACGTCTGTGTGGTTTTAATGATCTGATTCTCATCCTGTGTTTACAACAGATGTTTGTCTGACACTGATGTGCTCAAACTGTCACCTTCAGTCAAAGGCGTCAAAGGGATTTTGTTTCTTGACTAAATAGCAGACAGGTGGTTGTGTTCATGTTTTTGTTGTCATCACCTCTGAACTCACAGCTGTTGTAATGAAAATCATAATCAGTGTTGTATCATTTCTGTATCCTTGAATCTACCTTTTGGACACAGCGCTGTCATTTCAATAACACTGGCCTATTCTCAGGTGAGACCTTCAGCATACTGAACATAGTTAAACAATGATGGTGACCAGGAAAGCGGATGAGAATGATGAGGGTCATAAAGGTGATGCAGGAGATTTTGATGATAGAGATGGTAATGGTGAAGTAGGACGGTGATGATGCTCTACGCAGAGACAATGGGTGACAGTTCAAGAAGTGATGATGAAAATGATGACTGGGCTTTTAGTGAAAGTGATGAAGATGGAGAGGTGGGAGGCGGAGGTGGGGGGAGGGGAGTGACTGTCAAACTGTCTAATAGGATCTGACTTCATGCTCCTCTTCCTCTCTCACCAGTTTGAAGCTCGAGTGTGACAAGTTGGCCAGTGAGAAGTCAGAGATGCAGCGCCATTATATCATGGTAAGTAGATGGATGAGTGTTGAGTGTGTGCTGACGTCCATTTGTTATTTAATTGTACAGACAATACGGTTTTAAAAAATAAAATTCAAGCAAACCCCCCTGTAATAATAAATAATATTATTAATAATAACAATAATAATCATAGTTTTTGGAAATGTCAGTCTTCTCTTCTAATAGTCTCTTCTAATAATCTTCATGTAAATGTCTTCTGTGACCAACATCGTAGTCGACTAACAAATGCGAGAGTGTTTCTTGTAGATTCATATTTGATGTAGGGAGCAGGTTTAGAACATTTCATCTTAGCGCCTCGAGTCTAGTTCCGTCACTGCCTAAGGATTACATGCATGAAACACAGCATGAGGAATAATTAATAAACATCTGAAACACCCTGGAGCCTAGAGGAAGACGCTAGAAACAAGGGGGTAAAGTGTTGCAGATGAACAAACACGATTGTACGGCTGCATTCGTGTTGTGCTGTGAAATGTGTACACAGGCAGTGCTGCGGAGTCGTCTGCTGAAACACCCCCCCCCCCCCCCCCCAACCCGACACACACACACCCACACCCACACACACACACGTGCTCTCCTGCTCTCTGCTCCATTTTAGGGCTAATCTCATTGTAACTGGCCGTGGCAGTGTAGCCATCTGATGTTTTGCCTCTAATTGATCCTCTGACTGGCTGTAATCTCATTTAATCTGCAGTGCTCTTTCCACCATCAGCCATTCAGCACACACACACACACACACACACACACAGATACACAGATACACGACTGTGTGTCTGTGTGTCTCCACAGCACTCTCACTGTCACTGTCACACTGATAGCAGTGCTACCCGCTGACACACAGCCCAGGGCTGTCACTTTGTATTTAACATTAAAACAGTAACATGCAAATCACGGTCAGGGCACGGGTCGGGGTTTTTATTCTTCTTATTATTCATTCATTTACAGCTTAATCCTTTTTTAGGCTCTGAGACTGGGGGTCGTGGAACATTTCCCCAGCCCATCACAGAGGAACACATGAAGACAAACACACACACACACACACACCTACGAACAATTAACCTAAGATCTTGCGAATCAACTTTAATTTAAAACAAACCACAGGTACAAAGACGGTGATCCTGAATTGCAGCAACGTTACCACTACAAAATTTCCGAAGCAACAGAAGAACCAAAAATGTATGAAAATATTTCACATTACCAGATTAAATGAGGACAAAACATATTTGGGTTTTCCATCTGGAAAATTCCATTTGCTTCATGTGATTGTGTAAGAATTTGAAAGCAGAAGCTTTTGTGATTCCTCACACACACACGGTGGTGCAGCACGTGCTTCAGTCTGGATGTGAACAAAGTGTGTACTTTGTAAGTGAAGTAATTAAAAAACTTCAAGAGGATTTTTACACTAGTTGTTACTATTAATTTGGAGTAATTTTAAATCACATGGTCTAAGTGAACTCGCTCCCTGGAACACACACACACACACACACACACACACACACACACTGTTAATTGTTCTTCTACTCCATTAGTAGCCAGCTCACTCTGGTATCTTCAACACAGACCCCTCCTGCTATTTGTCCTCTAATAGCCTATCAGATCTGCCCCTCCCCCTCCGCCAGCAGCAGCAGCAGCAGCAGCAGCAGCAGCAGCACCATTTCTCCAGTGCTGTAATTACTTTAGGGAGCTTCCACCAGGACTCAAACAGTTGCAGACAGACAGTGGGAGAGTGGTAATGGTGTGTGTGTGTGTGTGTGTGTGTGTTTGTAGGTGATCTGTGTGCTGTATGTTTGCCTGTGTCATGGCCGACCCTCTGCAGACAGAGTGGTTGATTAACAGGGTTATGGCCTACAGCTTGATCCACTCATTAACGATGAACACACACTCTCACACACACACACTGTTTGGTTCCTGTAAATGTAATGAGAAAATATCTGATGTAAAAAAAAAAATCATATATTGTGTTAAAACAATGTGTTTTTGTTTTTCCTGCCTGTCATTGCAAACGTAAAGGAAACGACCAAACAGAATTACTGAGTTAAACCTGACCTCCAACTAGTTTCTAAAAAAGTCCTCAGTGAATGTTTATTTTGTTGGGGAAAAAGGTAAATACTATGCACTCTTCCTTAATTCCAGAATAAAGGAAACACTATCGTAGTTTTCCTGTTGTTGGGATGTTAGGAATGATTCTGTCCATTTTATTTGTACATACTTCTAGTCAGTGTACCTAGTAAAGAGAACTATGTTTGAAATTTTATGGGGGGTTTTTATGGGAAGTACATTCAAAGAAATACAGTAGATTTTATAAGAAAAAAGTGTTTATCTAGAAATCATTTAATTAATGCCTGAAAACACTATTTTATATCATGTAACTGTGTTTTTTTGTTTTTTTTTTCTCCCCAGTACTATGAGATGTCCTACGGTCTCAATATTGAGATGCACAAACAGGTAAGAGTTTTAATTACATTTTACATTTACCATTTGTGTTACAGGAAATACTAATTGCAATTAATTATTTTCTATTTTTTTTTATTTTTACATTTTTAAGGTTAACAGACGCAGTAGCTTTTCATTGTGTTGCTATTAGGAGGGCAGTCATTTTACATAACAAAAGAAAAATGCTATGACTGAGATAATAGCTATAACCTATAAAAGCTATGACCTGTGTCACAGCTTTAAAGAAGGAAGTAGGAATGTATTTGACTTCTGATGAGAAATGATGAACTGTTATAGAACCACTGTTATAGAACCACTGTTATAGAACCACTGTTACTACCTGTTCTGCTGTCAAGTCCCTGTATAATCTGAGTATCAGGCCTGTGTTTTATTTAGGGCATTTTTCATTAACCTTCTGCGAACAATTGGTGGCTGAACTGAAAGGACAAGATGCTGTTTTGAGTCACTGTGCTACTTGGTGCTTTATTATTATTTCCTGTCTTAAACCCATTATGTGGCAGAGTTGATGTCCTTTATTTTTAAACTTGATGTTTCTTGACGACTTGCTGGTCGTAGTGGCTGTGGGAGCTCAACCCAAACCACAGTGAGGACACCAGGGAAATGCTTACATTTTCAGTTAGCCCAAAATGGACTTCATGTAAATCCTACAGTGGCTCCTGTCACTTCCTTGAACGTCCACTGATATTTTGATTTTAAAAATAAAAGATTAAAGCTTCTACTTTGGTGAAAGCACCAGCGTTCTGCGATACTGCTTGAACTTGAAAAGAATAAAGTATCCTCTGCTCAGACAGGAGCACATACATCAGTCTGTGCGGCTGCAGCAGGGGGAGTAATTTATGCTCACACCGTAGGAGGGGGAGAACGATGGGCCTCCAAAGGGCCAGCCCTTATCGCTGACCTCGTCTGCTTCTTCCATCCACACACAGGCTCAAACCCCCCCCCCCCCCCCCCCCCCCCACCCCCACACCACATTGACTGTGCATGCTGACAGCCATATTGCAAGAAGCGAGTGGGCTTTGACAAATGGAAACACACATGCCGGCACGCACGCACACGGAGAGATGTTGCAGCCTCCACGATTCAAAGACCATCACACTAATGCACCGACACAAGCCCTGAGACACAAACATGACACTGGGATACATGGAGAAAAAACACAACACACACATACACACACGCAGAGACACGCATATGTAAAGTATGACGTTGTCAGACAGAATTAAATTGGTGTGATGAATTGCACACAAAAGGCCCATGTGTTTCATTTGACCAGCAACATTGTCTATTCCAGTGAACATGTAATATGTGCTACGTTTGTGACACACATGCCAACATGTTACCCCTCTGTGTGTGTGTGTGCCTTGGCATGCACAAAGGTGAGTGGGTGCTGAGAGTTGCCAGTTCGATTAGTGAGTTGAAATTGAAGGGGATGTGTGGAAATGAGTGTTGAAGAGCGTTCATATCTGGGCCCATTGTGCAGAGCGCCCCCTCCCTCACCCGCCCCTCCCTCACCCTCCCCTCCGCCCCGCCTCCTCCTCTGTTTTCCACCTTTGTCTCTATTTTCCTCTTTCTTCCTCTCTCACAAGCTCACACATTCAATTGCTCCCTCTTGATCACGCTGTCCTACTCAATTTAAAAAGAACCCTTCTACTCTGTGTCCCCACCCCCCCTCTCTCTTCCTCCCTCTCTCTCTCTCTTTCTCTCTCTCTCTCATTCTCTGTTCATTGGACCCAGATTATGTTGAATGAGTTGTTTATTGCCTTATTCTCAGTTTGTCCTTCTGTTCCTTTGCCACATAAATTCTGAACTATTTTTTTTACCTTACACATTGTTTCCTACACACCTGCTTCGTTTACGTATATACAGCTCGTTCCCAACGCTATGGCCTCATTTACACTGATTTTCCGTGGCAGAAATGTGTATTTTGCCAGATTGTTTAACATAAACAGGCTGTTGTTGTTTTGTTTTCACGCCAGCAGTGGAGATGATAATGCAGCCAGGACATCTGTGTCAAAATGGGAGCCAATGAGCCTTCTGCACAGCATTAGACTGGTAGTGTCTAAAATTACACTCCAGTCAAACATTCAACCTGACCAACACATTGAAGTCAGTTTTTAGGTCTGGGAAATAGTAATGAATTGCATGGTTTATTAGCTGTAAAAAATGTTTTTTTTTTACATAAATGATTCAAACAGTGTTTATTTTCTTAAGTCAGATTCAATTAAAATGGAACTATTGGAAATTTTAGAGACTTTGTTTCTCACTTATAAATTTACGCCGTTTCCTGCTTCTGAGCTTCACAGTTTAAGGCAAACGTGTTGTACTCAACTGATCGTGTTTTGGTCGACGTGTTTGCTCTTCATCCCATAAGGAGAGAAAGTGAAGGGACAGATACAGAGAATGTCGTACAGAGAGGAAGATGTTGAAACAAAGTGTGACTAAAAAAGTGAAGCGTGGAGCGGGGATATTGACAGCATAAAAGGCAGTAAAGAGAGATGGGGAGTCACAGCAGAGCGTGGGTCCCACTGAGACATTTTAGAGATATCAGGGAGCGTGTATGTGTAATGATGAGTGGATAGAAGTGAAGCGTCTGATGGGGAGCTGTGCTCTGCATGCCTAATGACTGTTAGGAGGGCCCCTCTCTCCGCTTCCTGCCACAAATTAGGCTGTAACACAATTACTGCCGCTTTGCATATCTCAGATGGATTGGATGATTACCAACCAAATGTGATAATAGACCTACACGTGTGAAAGACGGGGAGTGTGTATGATAAGACGGAGGGAAACGCATGTGCATGTGTGAATATATACAGTACATCCAGGAGTTCTGGCGAAAGAAAATGTATCTAGTGTCAGCATGTTAATTAATGGCAGAGTAGAGACTTTCTCACACTGCTAATATGTGTAAGTGATGTGTTAGGGATATGTTCAGCAAAGTCATAGCAATATATTTACTAAGTGAACGAACAAGGCTGGAAATATGTTGGTGTAGTTAGTAAATGCTGCAACCCACTGTTTATTCATTGTAATAATTAGTGTTCATGTGGACATACTGCAAATACTGCTTGTGTACTGTGACAAAAATGTCAAAGTTAAGTATTAAAAGGAACGAGGAAAAACAGAACTGCTCTTTATCAGCACACTGTGCATCGTACACAGTATTTGAACCATATTTGCTACATTACATGCAGAAGAATATGTGTCACAATATGTAGTATTCTGTCCTGTGTAGGAGAAAAAAATATATAACAATTAACAGTCGAGTAAAAAGAGGTTTTCTGCTCAAAATGTAATAGTCTTGCATACTTGCGTGTATATGTGTGTGTATATATATGTATATATATATATACATCTATATGTATATATATAAACATAAATATGTATATATACAGCATATCTATGTGTATATGCACAAGCTATACTGCACAAAATCGCCTTTACGTATTTGAGTGCTACTGCTCAGTCTTATGTACTGGGTAACGAAGGCCAGGGACAGACAGAAGGCTCTGTATGTTTACTCACTCTTAGGCGTCCTGTGGTATTTGATAAATCACAGCGAGCTTTGTCCATTCTTGCTGCTAAACTAAAGAATGACTAAAGAATGACCAATTTTACAGTCATGGAAACAAGAAGACAGTTGGACAGCTGCCACTGTAGTATAATGTTGTTTACTTCCACTCTGCTCCTGTCAGTGTTTTTACCAAAGCTGCAGTAGTGATTAATCTGTGCTGTGGCGCTCAGGCTTCCTGAGGTTGTGTACGTCCTGTTAGCATTAGTGGACACCAGTTCTAGCAGACTGCTCTAATCCCTCTGACAAAGTTCCATCTGGCAAATAATATTGAAACACATTTGCTGACATCATTGTAAAACACTTTTCCTGTGCTGCGTGCAGCCAGTGACCAATGGCGTTCTTAATTATAATCTTAATTAAATGAAGAAAGGAAAATAACGCTGCAGAATAAGTTCATTCATACTACTATTTTACATTTACACAGTACAACTGTCTGACTGCAGGTGGTGACAGATGTCACTGGTGTAGAAACATTTAGAACCTGTGTGGAGTGAATACATTCATCCACTGTTTACATCTTTCACCCAGACAAGTTGCCACAGTTTCTTGCTGACCTGCTGCACTGTGTTTTCCTGTTTCCTGAATATAAAAACAGTTTAAATGTGTTCAGAGTATTGTTGCAGAATAGCAAACAAACGCTCTCTACATTGACTAGTTCTAGGTTTTAATGGCGTTGCTGTCATATTCACCATAACCATAACTAATGCAGCGTCTTTTCTCTCTGCAGGCCGAGATAGTCAAGAGATTGAACGGGATCTGCGCACAAATCCTCCCCTACCTGTCTCAGGAGGTGAGTCCGCTCACACACACACAGATGGACACACACCGTCGGACACAGTGCCCCTCACACTAACGCAAAGACATCACTGACCTTTTGACCCTCAGTCCTATTCTTTTACTGCGTGGAATGAGATCACCCTCATTCCCGCCTCATTACCTTTACACCTCTGTGACCTCTTCACACAGCTTCCCTCCTTCTCCTTCCTCCCTCTCCCCCCCTCCCTTCTCCTCCTCTCTCATCACTCATCATCACTCACTTCCTGTGTGCCTTTTCTTTTAGTCTTCACTCTCCCTCCCCCACTGTGACTATCTGCCATATTCTATTTTGACCACGTCTTTCATTTTTCCTTCCTCTCTGTGTGTGAGTGTGTGTGTGCGTGAGCCCGTCTGGCTGTGTGTGTGTGTGTGGGTCTGTCAGTGTAATAAATGGTTGTGTGATTCAGATAAGCCATGCTTTTATCTGCCCAACAGGGGGTTGACCTCCACCTATTACAGCACACCAGCCGACCATCTATTCACCACTGCCACATAAATCTCTCTGTGTGTGTGGGGGTGTGTGTGTATGTGTGTGTGTGTGTGTGTGTTCCTGATGTAGTATTACTATTTTTGTCAGAACATTCGTGTCCATGTGAGCGTCATCAGGGAGTATGTTGGGTCTCTGCGAAGACCATTGATATTGATCTAACCTATATGACCTCCCTCTCTCCCTGCACACCCTCCTCCCCCCTTGTTTCTGCCTCACTTCTATTGTCTTTCTCACTTTCCTCCTCTTGTTTCCAATCTCTCTTCCATCTTCCCCAACCACCGTGTCCAGCACCAGCAGCAGGTCCTGGCGGCCATAGAGAGGGCCAAGCAGGTCACACCTCCGGAGATGAACTCCATCATTAGGGTAAGATGTTCAGCCCCCAGTCTGAGCGCCAGGGGGGTGGGGTGGGGGGGGGGGTTATTAGGGGCAGAATAGTTACATGCTTATTGATCATTGTGTGGATTATTTGAACTGTGTTGACTTTAGAACCTGCTGGGCTTTTAATGTCTGCAAATTCTCAGGAGTAAATATACATACAAATATACATCACAAAATAACAGTGTACTTGACCAGCAACAAAGGTATCCATAAGCAGCCTATTTGGACATTAAATGTAGCCCATTTCTGTTTCTTTTCAACATTCAATTGAAACAGCAATATCGGAAAAAAATAAAATAATTACAAAAATATTACAAAAAAAAAAAAAAATCAGAAACATCAGGTGGAGCTTTTAAACTGGCAGCTATTTTGAGGTTGGATGATGAACATGATGCAAGACAACCCAAAAAAAAACTCTTGGGACCCACCTGAGGGTCATGGCCCAGTCTTTGGGAAACTATATATATATATATGGCATATATATATATATATATACTTTTATATATATATGTACTTCATATTCCCTGTATTTTACTCGGCATGTACTTCATCTATGAAGCAAGCCACCATTGCTCACAGCAGCACAGTTGACATATCTATAACAGCAGTTGTGTAGTGTATGAGGTGTGTGAGAGGTGCGTTTGTAAGATTTATTATTTCCTACAGTACCAGAGGTCTGCAGTGATTTGTATACTGTATCTGTCCTGCTGTGGCTAATGCATGGGTCTATGTGTCTGTGTGTCCCTGTGTGTCCGTGTGTGTGTTTGTGTTCCATGCAGCAGCAGCTCCAGGCTCACCAGCTGTCCCAGCTCCAGGGCCTGGCCCTGCCCATGACCTCTCTGCCTCTGGGCCTGAGCCAGCCAACACTCCCTGCTGTCACCACCTCCTCCGGTCTCTTCTCCCTCTCCTCCCTGCTGGCCTCCCAAGCCCAGCTGGCCAAGGAGGAGAAAGCGTCACGTGACGGAGTCGACAGCCACCGCGAGGAGGACGGAGACAAGTCTGATTAGCTGGGTTTTACTTTTGGTTTGTGTTTCCATCCAGGGACGTGAATCCTGAGATCTGACTCCTGGTCTCCAGTCACACTGACAGCTTCCCTCTGTCTGACTTCAGTTTATACAGGCTTTAATCGTGACACAGTTACACAACAAGTGTATGCCTCTCTCAAGTATTTCTTCTTATCTTTACAACTCACCTTGTGTGTATACAGTTAAACAGTACTTTTAGTTTATTGTCTTTTTAATTAGCACTTCTTTCTCGCCCTGTTGATCAGTCTTTAGTCTTTTTTAGTTTTTTCTTTTTTTCACTCTTCTTTGTCTTTATCTTCTAAGGTGGTTCCGGCTCTGTACATACCGCAAACCTCAATGACCCTGATGTCGATGTGTTTCATACAACACAATGTGCTGTCTCTATCTAAAATCCCATTTAAAAGATTAGGCATTTGAATGTTTTGTAGCTTACATGCTAAACATTAGCTTTAGCTGTTTCTGTCTGTGAGCTCTGTCACCACTTTTTACAGGCTGTATTTGTCCCTTAGCTCTTTAGTTTCTACTCCAATCTGATGAACCATTGGTTAATGGTCCAGGGTTTGGTGTGATCACCCGCCCCAAGACTTTGATTGGGTGTTAAGATGAAGTCATCGTTCAATTTGATCAAATGTCCAGGATGGTCAGGTCATAGAAGACATTATTGTCTTCCTGTCTGTTCTAAATAACGTTCAGACCCTGTGGTGGGACCTGGACTCTGGACAGAACTGTCATTGAAACAGGACACAGTTCTGTGGATGTCCATAAAAAACTTTTAACTGCCTTAAGGGGCAGTAAAATCTTTTTGAACAGTTTTGACCTCTTTAATGCTGAAATAGTTAATTGTTAAATATGTTTAATAATTGTTAAAATACTTAATGCTCATTGAGAGAGAGAGAGGGAGAGAGAGAGAGAGGAGGGTTCTTCACACCCTGACCACAGACTGTCTATGATTCTGTGAGTAGTTTATTTGGAGAAAACAGAACAACTTAATGTTTGCTGTCGGCCTTTAAAGTGAATCCAACTTCAGTCACACACCGCAGCTCCTGCTCTGACCTCAGGAGGAACAGCAGATCATTCTGACCAGCAACAGGGAGAGTGTGCATGTTATATGTTTGACAGCAGAGGGCAGCGTGTGTCTTTGCAGAATTGTCCTTGATAAAAATGAGACCAGAGAAAAGCAGGCAGTGTTCAGAGAAGACGCAGTTCCTTATGGTGGAACAACCTGTTCATTCTAACCACACATATAACCAGCCCAGTGTGATGGGGTGATTGGATTGTGATTGTAACGCAGTGAAGGTGTGACGGTTAGAAACCCCTCCAGTCCTACATTCATCACTGTAGTTTTCCTTCACTCATGATGTGCTAAACGCAGAAAACAACCTTTTGTATCAAATTTTGCCGGCGTTCAAAACTGTTCGTCTGACCAATGATTCTTCTCCTATCCAAACCGTATGAAGCTCAATGTGTTTGCTATACAGTACATACAGTGTCTATTTTAAGGGTTTCTTCTTACCTTCTAATCACAACTCACATCGTGGTCATTTGTTTATGTTAAAAGTGAAACCTTCAGAAAAAAAAAACTATTTTAGTCTATTTCAGTGTGAAGATAAACCGAAGGCTCTCAAACATGTTCTGTCCGAAAAGTTCCCCCTACAGTCTTTTACCATACAGAAGTCCACAACACACCGCTGTAGCTCTTCATCCATTAGGTTCCATTACCACCACCTAGTGGACACCCAAGAACATCAGGACCAATTGCAAAAGAAATAAAACAAGAATTAGAAAATGCAAACAGAGGGTTGTGTACCTGCTGATGAACTCAGCAGTACTTGTACAGTATTTTAAGAATCGATAAAAAATCCTTCTGATTACTTCATCTAGTCACCTGAGTTTCCATTTAGCATAAACAGTGACAAATGTTTTGAAGGAAAATGATTCTAAAATAAAGCGCATTTTATTGTTGACGTCTCGACTCAGTTTCTAGGTGTGGGAACTCGGCAGGAAAACGTACAGTCACAGGTGAAACCATCGCAGACTGAAGCCCTTTGTGTCTGAAGGCTTCGTATGAAACAGGAGACTCCCTCTGAGATCAGTGTGTGCGCATGTGCACGATAAGTGTATAAACTGTTGTACAGGTGTGAACGTTGGCGATGAACCACGGGGATGACGTGCTTTGCTTTTACTAATGTGCCATTCTGCTTGTGCATTCTACTCAGAGCACATTAACCTCCCTCCTGTCGCAGACTGTATTCATCCTGCTCCACGCTCTGCCTGTGTTGATATGCAGAGCATGAAGACCAAACACACTCAAAGTGCATGTCTGCAGGGGAACTGGGATTGATTTGTTTTAGTGAAGAATTCTTTTTGTTTTGGTTTAATTTTTCTGTCATCGCTGCATTCTTTTTCCTTTATTTGATTTTTATTTTGGACATTCATGGTAATAATTACAAGCTAAAACTCAAAGCTGACGTTACAACCATACAAATTAAAACTTGATGTATTTGTGACAGTAGTTGAAGGCTCTGACCTCTGTGTACAGTTCTACATAGAAAGCTTTATGTGTCTATGGCTGCATCCTCTTGTCTGTCCTGGATAATTCTTGTGCTGTCGTGTTACAAACATGATCAGACACCGAGGTGGGAGGGTGAGGGACGATTCCTCTCCTCTCCTCCTCCACCCACACATTTCATCTCACCCCTCCCTTACACTTCTCAGCATTTTGCGCTTCGTAAAAGGTCTTTTTTTTAATACTTATTTTGTGTATAATGTAAAACTTGAAGGTGCGTACTTTGGGGGAAAAAAAGAGAGAGAAAAAAAGAAAAGATTTGTGTCAAAAAACATAGCTTCACTTTAAAAAAAGAATCTTTAAAAACAGTGCAACAAACATTTACTATAAATAATATGAAATGTTCTGCAGTAAAGGACTTAATTGTGCCTTACAAATAAAGTCAATCAAATCAAACTGGTCTCATGTTTGTTTGTTTTATTATAACTTATATTATTATAACCTCGACCTTTAACTGACCTCCACGTCACTATATTCTACAGACTGTACCTTTACAGGGACTTAACCCTGTTTGTTCTCCATGTTACAAATATGTTTAATGTTTAATCTCTCTTTTTTTCAGTCCTTTTTTCAAGTCTGTAGAGATGTCAGTCTTTTTTTTTTTTAATCAGTCCTTTTTTCAAGTCTGTAGAGATTTTTCTTCAACTTCCCAACACTGAGGAAATAAAAACTGTGAGCTTTACTTTCAAGATCTTAAGATCTTAAATTTAACTAAAACTCTGCTTCCGAGTGTTGGCATAGACTCTTTAAAGCATGTGATCTTGATTTATTCCATAAATTACAAAACAGGCTCGGCAGGCCTGACTCTTATTTATAAGTCAAACATCAAAGTGTTTCCAGATCCTTGAGCTGACTGGTTCTAATAAACTCAAGGAGGAAACACTGGACCGCCTGAAGACTGTGCAGTTCACGGCCTCTCCACTAGGAGGAGGTGTTGGTGTTCGTTTGAAGGTGTTATCAGCAGCAGGTGATCCTTTTCAGATATTCTCCTTTGTGCCTCAGAGTGTTTCCACGGGGAGCCGGAGCTTCTGGCTCTGCTGTCACACCCGAGGTTTAGTTTTTAGGCTTTTCTTATCCACAACATGTCGGAAGTCACGTGACAGACCAGGGTTCGCGTGTTGAATCAACAAGTGTTAATTAAGCAGAAGAAGTCTCTTGTTAGTGTTGACATGAACGGACATATGCAGTCACGTGGGTGTGTGTTCGATTCTTTGACTCCACCTCGTCTGTAAGTACAACATATAGTACTTGTAATGACATGTTTTGGCAAAGTACAACTGTTGTGGGGTCAGTCTGGTCCATTTTGTAGGTTCCTTCTTAGAGAGTGTGTTATGGTTCAAGATTGAGGAGTTAGGATTCGAGTGGGTGAAAGGATTAGGATTAGCGAGGGAATGCATTATGTCTATGCGTAGTACTCACAAAACACATAAGACAGTAATATACAGTACTAGTAAAGACATGTTTGGAATATTAATATTGCTGTGGGGTGGGTTTGTTCTCATGGGGGCAGTCTGTTGGTCCCTGCATACTGAGGGGGTATTTAGGGGTCGTCAGGTTTGAAATTTAGTTTGGAGTTACAATTAGAGTTTGACCACGCCTGAACTAGGGCATGTGTTCTCTATGAAATTCTTACAAAACACATACCCGTGTGTTTGTGTGTGTTTAGGCGAGGATTGTGAAACCCCCTGAGTTCCTGTGGCCGCAGCGTTCTCCCGTGTCTCTCCCGTTCACAGCTCTGAATCCTACACTTTGTTTTTCCTCCCTCTTTCTCACTAAACTCATCACACCGAGCCTCCGTCACACATGGGCTGCGTTAAAGACATTCCCACAGCGTTTAATTACGTTTTTAACACAACAATCATTGACCAAAACACTGGGTTCTGTTTTCCTTTCACCTCATTTGTCTCTCTCTTGGATGAACATTCTTCAGACGTGCACCAACACTCTTGGATCTTCTCCAGAGTGAAATAAATCATGCTTTTATTTTTGTCCCTAAAAAGTCAGCCCTGCAAGGTTCCTTTTTTGTTTGTGATTCGTTTTGACGAGGGCAGTTTGCACAAACTAAAGTCTTGTTCTTTCAACTGAACCCAAAAGGAATTCAGCTGTTTTACATTTGGTGATTTTTTTTTTTTAGACATTTTTGTCTCAAACAGTTTTCCTTTCGTCAGCCCCTGGTTGATCATTAGTTTTATTTTTAAGGACAAAAACAACCTTTCTTAACAATCTCATAACTTTAATCTTCCAGTGTCAGGGAAGAGGAGAAGAGGAAGACCACAGAAAAGAGATATGGATGTTGTGAAAGAATCCATGGACATGGTTGGTGTCAGGGTGGAGTGGAGGCAGATGACCTGCTGAGGTCACCCCTGAAGGAAACAGCAGAAAGAAGAAGAAGAAGGTTTGTATAAAAGGCCACTAAAAACACCAGGAACTCTTAGGGTAAAATGACAGTTAGCTGTAATTTGTTTTCATGTCAACAGTTTCCTCATCGATGTTTGTAAAATGTCATCATTGATTAGTTTGGTAGACGACAGTGTGAGTTTTTTTTTTATTCTTCTTCTAATGGACGCAATGAGCTGTGTGTAGATGGACTTTATTTACACTCTGTCCACTGTGTCCACTGTGTCTTCGGCTCAAACCTGTGACAGCATCTGGTTTGCAGTCATGCATTTGTGAACCTGCTGCTGTACTCTGTGAAAATGTTGACGATATCCGACCTGGATGTTCACACTGGAAAGCCTTTAGGGTGTGTGTACATGTGTTTGTGTGCACGTGTGTGTGTGTGTGTGATGACTGTGAGACAGAGGGCGGGGTCGTCAGTGAGAAGCATCTTGTTAATCATGATTGACTCATTCAGAGCCCACTTGTCTTCTCTCTCTCTCTCTCTCCCTCTCCCTCACTCCCTCGCTCTTTTCTTCCTCCATCTATTACGGAGACATGTACTCTGTCCCTCATTACCACCGCTCCTCCATCCTTCAGCCCCTCCATCTCTCCCTCCCTCCTTCCCTCCCTCCCTTCCTCAACCCCTTCCACTGCGCCAGTTTATTCATCCGTCCCTGAGAAAGGAGACTGTCAATCTCCCCCTGCCTCCTCTCCATCCTCTAACCCGCCTCTTGTCCCTTCATCCATCCCTTCATCTGCCCACCTTTTCTTATCAATCACTGTCACTCTTCCTCATCTCTGCTTCATCTTCCCTCTCTCCCCCTCTTTCTCTCTGTGTTTTTTCTCCTTTCTGCTGCTTTGGGGATTTTACATATCATTTTTCATTCTCGCTCTCCTCAGAGGCCTCCTCCATTTATCTTCATCCCCTCTTTTGTTGTTGCTGTTGTTGTCCTCCTCTGCATCCAGAATGATCTGTCGCTCCCTACATGACTGTCAGCCACTCTCAGGAAAAATTATATTCTCTCTCTCTTTCTTTCTCGGCCTCAGCTGGAGCAGTGTCTAATGCAGCAGACACTTCCACAGATGCACCATGGGAAACTGTCTCTTGGCCTGCTTTTCTAATCTTCTCTCTGTACAGTTCCCCAATACATACACACACACACACACACACACACGCACATTGTGTGTAGTCTAAATGTTTGGAGCAGGAAGAGCAGCGATGCTACAAATAGAGCTGATGAGAAGGAAAGAGACACAGGGTAAATCCTCATTCTAAATGAATTTGGCTTAAAGCGATAGTGAGACAGCGGCGACGGCCGTGTGCATGTGTACACGTCTGCGTGTGTGTGTGTGTGTGTTGCAGAAAACAGCAAAGGGAATAGGAAGTATTCAAACTTTAATGGCGTCATCTGTCCTCATTCCTTCCCTGACCTTCCTTCTCTCCCCCTCCTTCCTCATCTTCTCTGATATTTCAGGGTTTATTTCAGGCTTCTCCTAACACCCCCCACCCGCCACCCCCCACCCTCTGTCTTCACTATCTATTAGACATTAGCCGAGCCCACAACTGTCCTGTTGTCGCCTGCTTTAACTATTCTCAACCATAGTTGTACAAGAATGACTGAGCAAAGCAGGAAAAACACATTTATAAGAAATTAAATATATATATATATATACATATATATATATATATTACTGTATGTAAGTCCTAAGGTCATAGCTGTGTAGTATTAATAATATTACTATATAACATTACACATACAAGATGGATGGATGGATGGATGGATGGATGGATGGATGGATGATAGACAGACTCAAGTACAGTATTTATATAAATGAATGTGGAGAGTACAATGAAGTTTCAGTGTACTCTCTTGATAGTACCAGCTCTCCATTCGTACAGTATGATTAGAGTCTCTCATCAGTCTTGCTTCATCACCTAAATTATTTCAAATCAGACTGAAATGTAGAACCACAGCAGCACCGTGGTAAAGAGTGAACCTCCTGTGATCCTAATCCAACCAGTGCAGTCACCTCTTCTACTGTAGTTCTACTGTACGACTCCATGGACCAGGTGATTTACTGCTCACCTACAGATCGTGTATATTTTGTACAATGACAAGGTGCAGATGGTCGCTGGCTATTTTTTTTTTCATTTCAGAAACGGTTATATTTTTTCCCCTGAAACCTCAGTGTGCTCATAATTTCTATTTGATGTTCTCTCTCTCTCTCTCTCTCTCCTGCCCTTCCTCCCTTTCTCCCTCCCTCAGTCGTCTCTCTTTTTCCTCCAAAGTCTCTCTATCCCCACTGGTAATGTTGTTCAATGTAGAGCCCTCCCCTGTGTGATTACTGCGTTGTTACCCAGCTGCGACTGATACTTCCTGCCTGTCACTTCCAATCCTGGTGACAAAAACACACACACACACATGCGCGCACACACACACACATGCGCACAGACACATGTAGACTATTAGGAGGACTGTTTAGGTGCCTGTTCCACAGACGTGCATCAACACGTGCTGATCTTTTCATCACTCTTCCACAACTTTTTGTGTATCACATAAATACACAGATGGATGGGAAAAACTCGCAGAATATGACATAACAGGAACAACTGCACACACACACACACACACACACACACACAGCAGTGGTCACAGCAGTGGAGTGGACTCCCCATCGCTAAAAGCCAAAGTGGTTTAACATGACCTTACCCCCCTCCCCCTCGTCGCCCCTTCTTCTCACCTCCCCACTGCCTTTTCATTTTTGTCTATGCTCAGCTCTTCCTTTTCTCTCCACCATTTCCCCATCTTCCTCCTCCTGACATTTCTGGAACAATCTCCTCGTCTGGTGCTACTTCTGTGTTTTTCAGTTTCATAGAACATTCAGAGTCATTATATCAGTGACAGTGAATGCACAGTATGCACATGTTTTCACCTCAGAATCTTAGTGTTGTTGTTGTTGTTGGTTTTTAGAGGCTAGTAATCATGACTAAACCTGAGTGGGCTTTGTCTTTCCTTCGTGACTTCTGTTTCATTTTTGCAGACACAGAAGCCAAATATGAGGCTGAGGCTCAGCTGTTGGAAACCATTCACAGCCAAATAGCAACAAACATTGTGAAAATATTAACAATATCTGACATCTTTAAGATTTTTTTTCTTTTATTATTATTTTCTTCATAGTGTCCAAATGACAAGGCCTGTCAATCAATTACATATTTATTTTTATCAGATTAATCATTGGATAGCTGTGGATTAATCACCATCATCATTTCTCATATAATCATCACAATCATGACTAATCAAGGAAAAATTGTCATTTCCTAATACAACAAGGTTTCACTTAAGAATTGTATCTATTTGTAGCTTCATCTTTCCTGTCATTTATTTATCCCTTCTGTTTCCATTTTCTTTTTCTTATGACTTTCGACTCCAGCAGCAGCAGAACAACATTTTCATTATTAGGCGGTAAACTCGGAAAAATTAAATAAAATAGGAAAAAAGGGAAAGTGAGGGGTCATGTAGGAGATTGCCGGTTAAATATAGATTACACAAAAAAACCTGCTATTCACCCTGACAGGTCTACACCTCATGAGCAGGTACTGTTGGCGTGTTTGTTGAGTGTCAACAGTTCACGGACTTGTGTCTATCACTCCTGTCTCTCAGTCTATGCCTACAGACAGGCCTGGATTTCCCATGTGCCCCTGCTCTTTGTAGTCGGCACTGTTGTTTCTGGAAAGCACTTTCATCCCGCTTCTCATCACTTATTCATCTGCTTACGACTTCAATCCATCAACACCAGATCAAGTATGAAAACACCTCAGGCTATCTCACATTAGTGCAGCGGCTTCCTCTCGTCAAATCCACTCGGTTTATTTTCCTTTTTTTGGCTTCCTTAAAAAAAATCTCTCTTTATTTTCTTTTCTTTTTTTACATGTTTGTTTATGCCTCTTATATTTTTCTGTAATGCCTCGTTCAGCTATTTTTACTTTTTTGTTGTTGTTGTTCTATTCTCCCTGACTCGTTATCGCTGTCTTTTTCTCCAGCTCACTGCTAAAAACCAACATTTAAGAACCAGTGATTATAACATGGTCTGCTTTTGGATTCCCCGGCTTCACCGCCTGCTTTACAAAGAATCGAGCCTAAAGTCTAAGCTGCTGCCCACGTACTGGAGGGCATTTGGTTTTGTTCAGGATTTACCGACCTTTATCTTTTGGATTTTTGAAAAGAAATCTATTTCCTTTTCCAGTGATAGTTTTTCGGGCCTCATTCATAGGCGCTTGTGTGACTTCATATACACGGCGTTGTCAAGATGGAACCAGCTCAGCTCTGCTCACTTGCTGGAATGCTGATTCCTTGTTGATACAGGTGTTTTCACCTGTCATCTGCCATGTGCTGCTGTAGCGCTGCTCGCCAGTCTGCATTTCAACCCTTTTATTTGTCTGTCCACACTGGTTTTTATCCAAGTTAACTCTGGGTCCGCTGGGACGTCTGTCTGACGGCTGCTCGATCCATCAGTTTTCACGGACTTTTGCAAAGCAGCGCTATGAAAATTCTCTACAGACGATGATGTTGCACAGAGGATGAATGTTAATGGTCCTGGTGATGGCTTGACCTTTCCTTACATCAACTGTTATTTCATCTTTAGGGACTGCAGGTTGTGCAGAGTCATGAGTGTCTCTGTGAGTCTGATAATGAGAGAAATGAATGACCTGCAGGTAAAGTTCAACCAATGAGTAGTTTTGAAGAATTCCTGCCACATGTTTCTGTGATTTATGAGTGGATCATGTATGTACGTATATTTAAGTGTGGCAATGAATGGAAGTGGTTTCTTCTGTGTTCGACCGGTTCATCTGTTTCATCTGGATCCATAAGTAACATAAACTCTGCATCGATATAGATATTATTGGTTTGAAAAATATGAACATTTTTTCTATTCCTTTCAGCCTTTGAAGCCTTTACTCAGAGTAAATTAATAGACGCAGCTGCAAAAATAATTTTTAAAAATTGTGCAAAAATA